TTATTAATTCGTAACTAGTTTTGTGACATTTAGACACAATCGCTAACAATTGATGTTTTATTTAATGAGTGTTTTGCACGTATTTAACGGATAATTAGAAGTTAATGGAGAATATATTCTGACGTTTGAGTTTTAAACACACAATTAATGCCATTAAATTTCTTACTTTATTAATTGCAATGTAATACAAGAATAATATCTATTAACAGTAAACTACATTATTATTAAATATTATAAACTATGGTAACAAATTCTTAAATTATTTAAAGCTACATTACTAGAAATAAAATCAAAAATTTTAAACAAATCACTTTCAAGTGTAGAATAATGTGGTAAACTTTATTTAACACCGATTGAAAGATTGAAAAGCACTAAAATGAAAAGCAGGGAGAGCACACGTATAAGATTTACATGTTTGATATAACATGCACGCAATGTATTACTGAGGGGGCATTGTTATCTCCCTGTTTTTCCTATTAGTGCTTTTCATTGTTTCAATCGGTGTAATCGGCTCTTGCGTTGGAGTCAAAGGAGCGACTGAAGTAATGGGAATATTGCTTTCTTTGGCAGCAGTTGGAATCAATTCCCAATTAGTTTGGTTCACAACGCCTTCAACTACTTTAGGAACACATTTGCCGTGAATGCAGAACTAAAATAAGATAAATAAACAGTTTATCATTTATAAAAATACAAAATTTAAATCAATTAAATATATCATACACTCAATGCCCCGCACTTTGACAAGAAGGGAGCTCTTAGTTGATAATACTTGACGGACACAGTATTGTCGGGATTGAATCGTCTGACCCGACAATAAGTTTTGCACAGCTCTCCGGTCTGATTCTGGAGGAGTGACCACTTTTAGCATAATATTTATTAGCTTAAAGTTAGTTGACTATAACTTACCACAAAGCTATCGATAAACGCATCCATAGTTCTCAACTCAAACATTAGATGAAGTTTGCAGTGAAAGTGGTTCATCATATGATGAATAAACTGAAATGTGGCCTCACTTTCCACCACCAAAACACACAGACATAGCATTAATAGTTTCATCGTTTCGATCGTATATTGTATTCAACAACCGATTTAAGAGACAAGTAATCAAATATTAGTTATTCTCCAAAATGCTAATTGTTTTAAATGTTTTCAAATCAACATATTTTTGATACTCAATAAACAAAACGCTCATTGAATACATATTACATTTAACGGCTCATAAAATTGCAAACAAATGGTAATTATTTTATAATAATTTTTATTAATAATAATTAAGTCTTAAGTTAAAAAAATTACAATTACTCAAAATCTACGCAAATCTCAGGTATAATAATCTTATAATATATTAAAGTCTATCTCATTTCCACGAAGCGTTGAGTGCTTTCCGTGCGGCCAACCATTTGATGGCATAGGAAAAGGCAATCAAAGCAATCAAAACCACAGATATTAAAATAAAATCAAAGTCGTCTTTCAAGACATCAAATGTCTTCGAAGGCGTCACTCGTGTGTAGAATAAGTCTATAAGAAATAGTATTTTTAGCGACAAAATCAATACTAAATGAATGGATAGCAGACATACCTAAGCCATAGGCAAACACAAGACACGTAGACTCGAGACCAGTGGCTGAGGTTTGAATGCCACGAATCGCAGTCAATGTCTTATTATAATTAATGATTCCTTCGGCGGGAATCGGTATCTCTGGAATGTATGGAATGAGTCCCTCTTCCATGTGTTCGGGAGTGGGTTTGAGGGGTCGTCGCGGGTCTAAGAAGGCTTTCGGCAATTCTAATAGTCCTCCAGACGGCAGAAATACTAAACATCAACACAAATACAATAAGTATATAACAAATCATAGACACAACAAACACTATATAGAAATACTCACTCAATATATGTTTACTAGTGATCCCTCTTTCGGTGATAGTGTCTGCCATGACATCGATTCCGGTCGGGAATATGAATGAGTTTTGTTCGACAATCGCGGGAATCAATTGATTTCGTGTCAGCGAAGAGAAAGCACTTGAATTACTTTGAGTTTCGCCTTCAAATAATTCAATCGACGAGATCTCTGTTCGCCGAGACTTTTCATTGTAATACGAATACTAATAACACAAATAGACATAAATAACACATCATTTGATAAAAATTTAACACAAAAATACATACAATAATCCAATTCTCCGAATGAATGATATGAATGGGTCTTTTGGCCCTCTTATGGACAGTCGTATAGACGACAGAACCGGTGATCGAATCCATCAAATAAAACACAACAAAAGCTAAAAACATAATAAAAGCAATCAGTTTTGAACGAGACTTTACTCTGTAATCTAAACTCACTTCTTTCTTGAGAGTCAACGGATTCGCCAACGATTGCCACTAAATTAGGGTTGAGATACTTGTAGAGGACATTCCTGTCGCCCATAACCCTTCCCTGTGAGTGGACGTGCTCTCCATATCGCTTGAACACGGCTTGCATACCAACCAAAGGCACGGGCAGATCGACGGCCCAAATCTGTTTCGCTATCAATTCGTTTTGCTTGGAGTCGGCGAACGACAGGCCCTTCACTGAGCCGTTCTTCTCGTTCGTAACCAACATATAGTAAATGTCTTTTAACGTCAAGAAAAGTGATTTCGCAGACGAGGGATATATGATTGGCTTGAGTTTGTCGTCGAGTATTAGTATTGGCTTCAGATGATTGCTGTCGGTGTGACTCAACAGCATTGTCTGCGAGACATCGATTTCCAGTTTGATTCGTTCCAAGACTTGGCCAGTGATCGGATCAAATGAGAATATGAAGCCATTCTTGTTAACAATAGTGCATTTGGCCGGATATGGGTAGTGAGCGGTCGACCTCTGCACCAGAATAGTCGGTCTATTCTTCGTGTTCAGCGAATGACTCAGAAATGGCTCATAAATAGACCAAATGATGGCACCGGTAAGCGAGTCGATGGCAAACAGTTTGCCATTGGCTGCCAAAGCGATGATCACTTTATGGAGACCAAACCTGTCGCGAATTAATGTGAACTCATTGTTGTCCCGAATGACCGCCGAATCGAGACTATTATCAATGGACTCGTCGTCTAAGTTGTCACTAGATTTGTGTCGAATCGGCTTTTGAGACAAACTGGCGATCAATTGTTTGACTAGACTTGCGGTATATGTCTGGAACTGATAGACTTGTGTCGATATTCTGGTTATAAAAAGTGTGAAAATGTTAGATCCGTCCAAATTGAATGTTTGCTCAATTTTGGCGTCCAATTCACTCAATGGTAGATCTATTTGTTCGGCACTACTTATGCTACTGAGCGCCTCCTCCCGTCTCCACGTCGTCCTTCCCAACAGGTTTGTCATTATTAGTGTCGAGTCTTCACTAGAAATCAGTATTTTATAGTTATGTTTGTTATCACTTCTGATTAAAGGAATTATTTCTAATTTATCCACAATTATGTGATTATTGAGAATGAATTGACTCGAAAGGGACGACACTTCTGACCACTTTTCCATATCGAAGGCCGCGATTTTGATGCCAGTGGTCGGCGTCGGAGAGTCGGTGGTCTCCCCATCGCCTGTGTTTGGATTGGCTTTCGTGACGAGCGTACAGACGGCCACATCAGTCGAGTCGATGATCGGCGCCAGTGTTATGGCCGACACTTTGGGAAACACTTTAATCAAATCGATTTGTTTTTGTTTGGCTCTTAACAGTACAAATCCATCGCCGCCTAAATTGACAGCAAAATAAGGACTTTCACTGTTTTCCTGGTGTGGAAGCGATTGAAGTCTTAGATATTTGGGTTTATTATCACTTTGAAGACCAAACGCCGACAGCGGGATAGCGCTGAAAGACTTGGATTCGCCGACAATCAGGTACTGAAGGGTAAGATTTCTATCATCGATACAAATGAGGTATTTGGAGGTCTGGAAACTACAAGAAGTGCTTTCTGTCATCCAATTGGATGTCGAGATGGGAGTCGATGTGGACTTTGATGACTGACTCTTCAGATCAAATACAAACAATTCGAGCGATTGTTGCGTTAAATCAAACTTAGAAACTGTTATTTGAGTTGAATCGGGGCTTAAGCTGAAGAAAACGCGATAATTATCTCTGAAAAAAGTGATACAAAACACGCGTTAATCACAAACAGCTAATCACTGTTAAGACCGGAAAAATACTTATTATTTTCTATGTCTTCGATGTAATCGTTGGACAAACTATTCTCTGAGACAATGAGACCGTCGAGAGTCCAGCAACGGATCCAAACGCCTAAACCATTGATGGTTACGAGAGGGCAGTCACGCGATTTGGTGGCCACGAAGAGATCAATTGGTGACTCCAAGAGATGTCTCCATTGAATGGTACCGTTTCTGATGTAAACGGAGGCGAAGACATGACTGCCGGTGGAGAAGACAATCGTGTTATGGGTTTGCCATAAGGTGTCCGAAGACTGTTTGGATGACTTGATGTGTGATAATTGAGTCAAATGTCCGACAAAACGCGATCTCCAGTCAAACTTCGAGACCTGATCCTCATATAGCGTGTGGACACCATTGAGTGACACAAGAGTTTGCAGTAAAACTAATTTCAATACAACACTAATTATAAGCGATTGGAAATCACATGTCTTTCGGACACTTCGGGCCGTGTTTTGGGCCGACAATTGATTGCACATTAATTTCATCGCTAATTCAGTCACTAATTATAACTACAATTCACTGCGAAATATATATCACAATAAAAACACACAAACTATTGGTTCACGCATTCAATGAAACACACGATTAATGTATTGTTTTGTTGTTGTTTTGAATGCAATTTGCGGTCAAATGTAATGACAATTAAAGCCAATTGAAAGCAAATCCTAATAAATGCTTATAAAAGACAACATTTTTTCCTCACATTTCTATCAAATCATTGCAAACAAGCGATCAATTGATGGCTGAAATGCCAGACAACGCATGCGTTATGTGTGGACACCGTTTAAATGCCGGTACAGTCTATGCCCGGTATGGCTATCGCACAGGCATTGACTCCTTTATGGCCGAACCCAACACCGCTTTAACCCTACTTTTCGGTCATTTGTGTCACAATTATAACTCATTTTAATGAACATGTGTTTCATTTAATGCATGTTTTGTTGACCCGTGTATTGCAATAAACGGATATGCATTGAATGCGCAAAGCGTTGGTTTGTATTAGTATTGGTTTTTTGGTGTCACTCTTGGAAACCGTATGAATTAAAATTGTGGATAAATTTGTGGCATTTATTTCATTAAAACTTTATATCGATTTCTTACAAACAATTATAAATTTATAATTCATTTCAAACTAATGGGTAGGAAATTATACGCTTAACAGGAAATTTGCATATTTTTCAAACATAGAGTTTTATTATTGCAGTATTAACTAAATTAGTGCTGAAGTTATAAAGTTTTGACAGTAATAAATAATTGATATTTAATTTATTGATATTATGATTAGATATTTAATTTAGGTTATTAAAAGTTACATTAATGTGCATGGTCATATATTAGGTAAGTGTAGTTAAAAACTAGTTAAATATCGTGATGATTATGAAAATATATGATGATAACCTAGCTTGTGATCTCAACGGTTTTTGTAAGGAAAATGCACTCAAAAAATTTTTTTTGCAATTAAACAAAAAACAAAACAAAACAAAGTTTTTAAGTTTCAAAAAATAATTTTTATACAATTTTATAT